CTCTGAAGTTGCCACAACTCCTCAAGCAGCCAGGTGATGCACCGTATTTCGAGCAGCAAATTATTTTCAGCAGCAAATTACCTACTTAAGTCTGGGTGCAGTGGATTAACAACTTACAACACCCAGTTGAACTGATTATCAGCACGGTCTGGGTGCAGAAGACCCACCTGAGAACTGTTGCCAATAGCCCTGGAGGGAAGATCAGGGGGCTGTGGATTTCTAGAAGCTTGCTGAAGATGGTTTACTGATATGAACTCAGCTGTTCTTGTCAGAGGAGGAGCTCAGGGCCTCACTGTTGCTGGGAAAGGCTACTGTTCTTGTCAAGGGAGCTCTGATCTTCACCATGAGCATCACTTCCTGGCTGCAGTATAGATCACTCAGCTTGGTGGTACAAATCCTTCATCCAACCAGCATAGGATTTCAGGCTTTCACCCCTGGCCTTTGGGTGCAGATCCTCAATACGGACAAGCACGAGCCACTGCTATGGGCTCTAGGCCTCTGGTTGGACTTGTGGAAGCCAATGCCTTAGTCGCTAGGCCTTTTGCTGGACTTGTGTGGGACACTGCCATGGGATCCAGATCCTTGGCTGGATTCTTTAGGCCTCTAGTGTGTGGCTGAACTCTTGCATTCCTCTGCATTTGACATTTGGGGTAAATATCATAAAATAATGCTATAAACTATGTGTCCTTACCATTACTCTTCAAACTTTTCAGTGAAATTGAAAGAGAAGCTATACTTTCAAATTCATTCCTGGACGCAAGTATCACTTTGATTCCCAAACCAGAGAAAGATACAACCAAAAAGGAGAACTACAGACCAATCTCCTTAATGAATATAGATGCAAAAATCCTTAATAAGATACTAGCAAACAGAATACAGAGGATTATTAAGAAGATCATCCATCATGACCAAGTCGGATTTATTCCAGAGATGCAAGGGTGGTTCAACATACAAAAGTCAATGAATGTAATACATTATATTAACAAAGTCAAGGACAAAAACCATATGATCCTCTCAATAGATGCAGAAAAAGCATTTGATAAAATTCAACACCCATTCATGATAAAAACCCTGCAAAAAATTGGAATAGAT